AGGCTTTCTACTCCCGTAAAGATTTACACCCTTGGAAACCCTGTACAGGGTCGCTATGGGTCGGACCCGACTCGATGGCACTTAACAACAACAACAACAAGATCAGTAAACTTCAGTGCAATGTCAGTATATTTTATGTCAATTTAACTATTTTAGCTTAAAAATATGAAAATCTGTATCAATAGTGGGAAACTTTAATATATCAATACCAAAACAAGAAAACTGTATAATCTTCTCCTTAAATATACTGCTAATGTGGTCACCAGCCACTCCTTGGAAATCCTATACTGGGTCGCTATGAGTTGGAACCGACTCAATAGCACTTAACAACAACGTGATATAACCAGTTGACACACTTGAGTGATAATCAGAAGATTGGAAGATCAAGTTAACCCAGAGACTCCTCAAAATGTCTGGCAATCTACTTCCAAAAATATCAGCACTGAAAACTCTACAGAGCACAGTTCTATTTTTCACACACATATGTGATGCAGTCACTTAGTTGACAATGCTCTTCTAGTCATCCAAAAAAAACCCAGACCCACTGCCATCAACTCAATTCAGATTTACAGAGGCCATGTATAGGGTTTCTGAGGCTGTAAATCTTTACGGGAACAGAAAGTTTCATCTTTCCCTCATGGAGCAGCTGGTGGGTATTAACTACCAACCTTGCGTTAGCAGTCCAGTGCTTATCCTACAGCACTACAAGGACTCCCTCCTTCTAGCTACAGTCTTTGTAAAAGCCCACTAAATGACTGGGTGGGGCCAAACAAACAAGGTATATAGGACATTAATGAGGGGATTGGTCATCTTTGCCTTCTTGATAGGTTTTAAATGAGCCATCCCAGAAACAGAAATGTAAGACCTCACTACCATCAAGAAAGAAAAGCCAGGAGTGGGGTGCATCTTTTGGACCCTGAGATTCTTGTGTGCTGAACTCCTTGATATAGAAGACAGAGAGCTATGACACCAGAGAAACAGTTTACGAAATGGGGTAGAAGCAGAAACAGCAGGAAAAGCACAACAGATTGGTGGGCTCCCAACCAACAGAGTGAGAAAGCTGAATGCCTTCAGGAAGGAAACTCACTTGTAACGTAGGTTGCCTTTAGGCACTTAATCCTTCCCAAGGAGCAAAAGTTGAGAGTCTTCAGGCTGCTGCTGCTGGAGGAATGGAGTACCCTTTGAGCATTTATCAGTAGCACTAAAAGGGCTTTGCAACATTACCTGAGCAGTGCAAAAGCCAAGGGGGGTGGGGGGGGTGTTTGTGACTGAGACGTCAAGGACCACAGAAAAAGACATACCTGCTGAGAAGAGAAGATCCTGAGGAACTGTAAACTTGAACATTTCAGTTCCTGAATGTTAACTTCCCTCATAAACCCCATAATCATGAGTACTGTCTGTGAGTTCTGTGTGGCCATTATAAATAGAAAGTACCTTGGAAATGACAGTTTGTGTCAGAATTAGTACAGATATGGTTGAAGGAGAGAGGAAGGCCTAACCTCCACCCCATACATCTTTACACATAGTGCTGCCATGAGTTAGAATCAATTAGATAGCACTAGTTTGGGTTTAGGTTTGGAATTATGTATTGTTACACAAGGAGACTTCAGAGACTTCATGGAAAAATAACACTATCTTTTCATTCCATTCTTCCATAAACTTTTTGACTTTTTGTCTTTATAATCAATATAACCTTAAGTCTCTCATTAATTATAAGAATTTGTCAATAGATAATCTCCCAGTTCCTGGGTTGTTGCTATGTACCACTGAATCAGTTCCGACCCATAGCAATCCCTTTCTGAGGAGCAGCTGGTCCAGCTCATTAGCACACAGCAACAAACCAGGACTCCAATTTCTAAGTTGTTGTTGTTGTTAAGTGCTGTTGAGTTGATTAGGACCCACAGTGACCCTGTATAGGCTTTCCAAGAAGCAGCTGGTGATCTTGCAGTTCAAACCACAGACCCTGCAGTTCAAACGACTCTGTAGTCTAATGCATTAGCCCATTGGACCACACCAGGACTCCTAAGTAGACAATCATAAATTGATAGTTATATCACTTGAAGATGGGGACATTTTTACATCTTCCTTCTTAATTTCTACTGGCTAAGACTTTTAGTAAAAATGGTGAATAGTAATTAGAATCATCCCCATCTTGGGTCTTTACATTTTTAAGATTTGTACCTATTTTCATGTTGATATCTGTCTATGACTTTTCTTTCTCATTATCTTTGTACTGTTTTGATATCAAAGTTATATTACTTAAATGACAAGTTAAGGGTTTACCTTCTTTTGTATCTTCTGAAACACTTTGTATAAAGATAATTCTCAGTTCCCTGAAAGATGGTCCAATGTATCAACTTGACTAGGGTACAGTACCATTTATTCAGTCAAAGTCTTGCTATGAAGGTAATCTGTGGATGTCATTTACTTCTATAAGAAATTAAGTAGTTATGAATATACTTGAAGTAAAGGAAAACATCCTAGATAAGTTGGGTGGGCCTGACTCAATCAGCTGAAAGGCCTTGAGAGCAGATCTGAGGGGTCCCAGCAAAAGAATTCCACGTGTGTAGTTCTATAGCATCAGCCTGTGCCCAAGTGTCCCAGCCTGCACTTCCTGACAGCCTGCCCTACATACTTCAGACTTGCAGAGCTAGACCCTCTCACATTCACACAAGCCAACGTTACAAGCATTCCAGTTATCTGTCCTCTAGCCAGTCACGCTCTGTACTTCAGACAGCTCATATTTAAAAGTAAGAAGACTGCATGGAGGTAAAGATGGCAGAATTTAAAACCAGATCATAAAATTCCCATTCTCTTATTTAATTAAAAGAACGAAAAGTTTCAAAGACTATCCCAAACTATCCAAAAACTTACAGTAGCAACTAAACAAGAGGTAAAACATCAGGTCAATAAAATTCAAACACTAAATGGTCAAAGGACAAAAACTGACAAAAATGAAAATTCTGTCACAGATTGCTAACCCCACCAGTGGCTATCCCACCCATCCCCCTCCCGCTCCCAGAAAAGAAAAAAATCTTACAACGTTTATGAATACAGTAACTATTTAAAGAGAAGGAAGTACACCTTGAGGGGGAAAAATAAAAACCTCATACACCTTAAGGAAAAAACCCAAAAAAACCCAGCCAATAAAGAAACAAAACTCCTACCTAACAAAGTCACCAGAGGTCTTAGTGGGAATAAAACAGTTTGCCTTTTTCCAGAGGACCCGGCTTAGCAAAGATAGGGAGCTAAACTCCGTAACATTGGTATATACGCACTAGCTAAGTGATACAAACACTACTCAAGAGGCACTGAATGCGGTCTCAAAAGAAAACAGAATGCTATACCTTACTATGAGGTGACTGCATTTTTCTGTTTTTCACCTACCTTCTGTGGCAAACATTTTGATTAACACTTGGTCTCTGTTTTCCTTGTAACAGACCATAAAACATGTTTTTTTTTTAAGCTACTATTTTCCTGGAAATTAAAGTCATCACTATTCATATGTATCTCTAACTTTAATATAAAACAACAGATAGATAAAAATTGATACACTCCATCCAAAAAATTCTTGCTCGAAGACAGAGTATCTTCAGTAATGTCTGAGCCTAAGGAAAATCCTAGGATGGATTAAGAGAAAATTCTACCCCTTCTTAGAGGTGACTCCTCACACAAAGAAAGCACCCAGACATCAGTGTAAACACATGGTAATGCTACTAACACTTATGATTTGTATGAAGCTCTGAAGTGTACGTAGTTCTCCCACAGGTCTTTTCTACTTTTTACAACAAGTCTGCACAGTAGCCTGGGTACTCTTTTTCTCGTTGTAAATATAAAAAACCAGCCTAGAGGAATGACATGATTGGCTCAAAAATGAAACAGCAGTCAAAATTAGAGCCCACGAGTTCTATCCTCAAATCCAGAGCTCTTGAGTCTAGAATATCACATGATTATCATGGTTGTAGTTCTAATTTGATTTACCTTCAACACTCAATCTGAAGGAGAACTGGCTGTAGTATTGTTATCAAGTGCCATCAAGTTGGTTCTGACTCATAGTGACCCAACTTAAGGTTTCTGAGGAGCAACTACTGGGTTTGAATCACCAATATTGCGGTCAGCAGGCCAGTACTTATCCTACAGTGCCCATGCAAACTTCTCACAAAAGTAGATGGTTTGGTTACAGGGCAGAGAGTGAGGTGGCATCATCTGGCACCGTCTCTCAGAGCTATTGCAGTACATTGAGCTCCACAGCGACAGTACCAGGCCAGGCGGAGCCTGACGACACTAGGCCAACTCTGTGCCTCCAGGATGGAAAAAATAATAATAACTAAACATGGTCAAAGGAGATTCTAAAACTACAACAGGTGAAATGTCATCCTATGAATTTTTTTGTGCAAACCTGCTGGGAGGAGCACAAGCAGCACCCAGATGCTTCAGTCAGCTTCTCAGAATTTTCCAAAAAGTGCTCAGAGTGGTGGAAGACCATGTCTGCTAAAGTGAAAGGAAATTTTGAAGGCATGGCAAAGGCAGACAAGGCCTGTTATGAAACAGAAATGAAAACCTATATCCCGCCTAAAGGGGAGACAAAAAAGAAGTTCAAGGATCCCAATGCACCCAAGAGGCCTCCTTCGTCCTTCTTCTTGTTTTGTTCGGAGTATCGCCCCAAAATCAAAGGCAAGCATCCTGGCCTATCCATTGCAAATAAACTGGGAGAAATGTGGAATAACACCACAGCCGATGACAAGCAGCCTTATGAGAAGCAGGCTGCTAAGCTGAAGGAGAAGTACACCTACCTGGCTAAAGGAAAGCCTGATGCAGCCGAAAACGGAGTCGTCAAGGCTGAGAAACACAAGAAAAAGAAGGAAGAGGAGGAAGAGGAAGATGATGAATAAGTTGGTTCTAATGTAGTTTTATTTTGTTTTTGTCTATAAAGCATTTAACCTTCCTGTACCCAACTCACTCCTTTTAAAGAAAAAAAAAAAAAAACTTTTGAAATGTAACAACAACAAAAAAGTAGATGGTTTGAAATGATACCTGGAATTGTCATTTGAAATGATACCCAAAACTGTCATTTGCTGTAAATTGGACACTATAATCTGTTATACATCTACATTGTTGTTGTTAAGTGCTGTTAAGTCAGTTCCAACCCATAGAGACGCTGTATAGCATTTCCGAGGAGCAGCAGTAACCTTGAACCACCAACCTGGTGGTTCACACCAACTTTGCAGTGCAGAGCATTAACCCACAGCGCCACACAAGGACTTTGCTATGTATCTGTATCCGAAAATAATAAATAAGCATAAAATGTTACACTCTGACGCAAGAAAGATGATATGGTTCTCTTTAATCAGCTAAGAAAACTATTTCTATATTCCAAATGAATCCAGACTAGCAGTGGGGGAGACAAGAAAGAACTAAAGAATCATGTTCAAACGTTTGAAGAGTTTTAGTTAAAGAAGAAATGGCATTGAAAACAGTTGTTTTTCCCCCATTGACAACAGAATTGAATGCCATGAGACTCAAATTAGAGTCCTAAGAAAAGAAAATAGTTAAAAATATTATGAGCAGGTAAGGGAACTATAAAGGAGCAGCCAATATAAAGTGAAAAATTAATCAAGTGTGGTTTCTTGGAGTTAAGTAAAGCAAGCATTTCAAGGAGGACCAACTCTGTCAAATTCTGCTCATTGGTCAAGTAAGAGGACTGAGAAGTGGTCACTACAGTTGTCACTTTGGTGGTATGCTGGGGGTCGGGAACAGACTTATCTGGGTAGATTTCTGGACCCTAATAGAGGTTTCTGCCATAAGACAAGAGAACTAACAATGAGCTTAGAGAAGGAATTGAAGAATGGATGGAGAGAAGACAGATTTGGACAGAGGCCCTCCAAGATGTGCAGGTGGAGATAGGGGTAGGGTGAAGCAGAGATTGAGGGCCCCTCCCAGGTTTCTGGCTCAAAATGACTGATGTGACCATTCCTTGAAATAAAGAGTACAGATGGACCAAGTTTGTGTGGGAGAGGAGTTCAACTCTGAGCACGTTGAACTTTAAGTGCTAGTGAGATACGTTATAGACAGGAAATGTGATATTTACTTGAAGAGCAGACTACAGCCTTCAGTATGGATTGCATTTCAATGTAAACAAAACAAAATCCTCACCACTGGACCAATAAATAACATCATAATGGAGAAAAGATTGAAGTTGTCAGACTTCCTTTTGCTCGGATCAACCATCAACACTCATGGAGGCAGCAGTCAAGAAATCAAATGACGCACTGCATCAGGCAAATCTGCTGCACACAACGTCTTCAAAGTGTTCAAGAGCAAAGACGTCAGTTTGAGGATTAAGGTATGCCTGACCCAAGTCATGGTATTTTCAATCACCTCA